TGCAGCCATCATTGTTGTCTGGCGGGCCCGGGCCAGGGACTCGAACCCGCCACCCTAGGTGCATGTGGCTGGCGCCCCAGCTGCTTGAGCCACAGGCGCCGAGCCCAGTGTCTTTTTACTTTTTTGATCAACATATTTTAAGTGTGCCACAGAAGTTTATAGGTTCAAGAGTGACATGAGATAAAAAAGGTTGAAAAACACTGTTTCATAGACTTCCCCTCCCACTAGAGTTAAATCATAATTTTAGTTAAATCAATAATTAGCTTTGACATTCTTTGTTGTTGTTGAGACAGAGTCCCACCCTGTGCCCCGAGCAGAGTGCAATGGCATCATAGCTCACTGCAACCTCAGACTCAGGCTGTGGGCATTCCACTGCCTCGGCCTGCAGAAGGCATTGGGATTACAGGTGCTTGCTGCGGTGCCTGGGCTGGATTTTTCATGTTTTTAGGAACCAGGGTCTCACTCGTGCTCAGGCAAGTCACAAACTCCTGAGCTCAAGCAATTTTCCCTCCTCAGCCTCCCACAGTGCTGGGATACAGGCATGAGACACCATGCCCCTGGCAGCTTTGCTTTGACATTCTTATGACTAAGCAAAAATTATTTACATTTGAACCAAGTAGAATATTATGTTTCTTTGTGTGTGCAACTTTTCCTCCTGAAGTTAATAATGTCCCCTTTTCTTATTTGCATAGTCTTCTTTATAGCTATCACCAATCATCCACAAGCTCTCAATAGAAGTGTAAATCTCCTTTTAATACATTTAAACACATCAGATAATTTATCAACTGTATTTTTAGGATAGTTTCATCTCTACAAAGACACACAGTTGTTCTTATTTCTAGAAACTCTACCTTTCCTATCATTTGGGGTTTTAAAGATGTTTTTCTGGGACTTCTAGCTATTCAGTCTGACTTCGGAGAGCACCTCGTGCCCCAGATGGATACAGCTTTTCTACTAAGAATGGCAGGCTTTCTTCATGCCCCATCCTCCTGTGCTTGGTACTTACCCAGGACTTTTAGAGGAATCTGTCCTTCAGCCATGAGCATACTTGCAAAGCTTTCTGAAAGTCGAGGATCCAGCCTAGAATTCTGAGAAATGAAGAATGGAACAACAGTCTGACCATATGTTTTTAGGGTAAGCTCCAATGGGACATTTCTCATGCTTCTTGTTTTGAAGTTGAAGAACATGAGGCTTAATATAACGATCACTATAGGCAACAGGATCTGTATCGATAATATCAACATCCAGTTTCGCCAAGAATGTGTAACCTTTTTCAGAAACATGGCATAGAATTGTTGGCAGAAAAGTCTGTACTACAATAAAAATACATAAAAGGGAGACACAGCATTAACATAGTCACAGACAGAAGCTTTCAGGCAGTAGGCAGCCCCTGGCTTATGCCCAATAGCACTCCTTCCTAGTACCGCTAACTTAACTTTTCAATTATATTCACAATTTACTTCAAGTTAAAATTCTTTGAACTTAAGATCTGACTGATGGGCTCGGGGCCTGTGGCTCAAGTGGCTAAGGTGCCAGCCACATACACCTAAAGTGGCAGGTTC